CCTTTTCTCAATGCTTTTGTAATTCACCTTAATACCAGAGACACACACTTCATGTTTTCTCAGTGTGTAATATGGTGTCGTGATTCATGGGCACTGTGTAGTGCAGCTGACCTCTAGACTTACTCATCTCTGAACTGAAACTTTATAACTATTGGACAACTCTCCCATTGCCAATGTCCCCAGTCCCTAATCACTGCCACTCCAACTCTCTATTTCAAACCCTTGTTTCAATTTGGACATTTCAGGTGCCTCATAGAAGTGGATTTAGGAAGTATTTGACCTCCTCTAATTGGATGAGTTCACTTTGCAAAGTGTCTTCCAGGCTCATCCTTGTTCCATATTGTAGAGTTTCCATCTGGATAGTCCTCCATTGTATACCTATACCCCATTTTCTATTGATCTATTTATCTGTTGTACAATTAGATCATTTCTATGTTGTGCCTATTATCAGTTATGCTACAATGGATAGCAATGCAGATGTTTCTTTGATAATTAGTTTATGCTTTTGGCTATATATTAATGTTTTGGATATGTATATATATATACATAATATGGATAGATAGATAGATGATAGATAGATAGATAGACTCCTAAATTGTATCATAATATTTTTTTTAGAAGAAGCACTTAATTACAACTTTAACATACTCAAGAACAATTTACAGAGCAAAGATACTTCTCTTTCAAATGTGGCTATAAAATTTTTAGGTTCACAGATGAATTAATATAGTTATACAGTATTGAACTCAGTATATTGTTTTTGAAAAACTTAAAAAATTTCATTAAATTATTTCGAGTTTTCCATAATATATTTTGATGATATTTAGAGCCCCTCCCCTATTTGCACCCCTTTTCCACGCCTGCACTACTTTCCCTGTACTCTGTCATATGTATGAAGGCCTATCAAGGCAAGTTTGTGTCCCCCAATGTCCTTCAGTTTGCATCGATGCACTGGAGGCTGGCTGTGCTAGTTTCTGTGGTGGGTATAGCAGCTTGGACCCCCATAAACAGTGTACAACGATCCCCACTTCTGCATATCTACTTGGACACATATTTTTATTGTTAATACCTCATCCTACTAGGTTTGAGGTAAGGTTCATAATGGTTTTAACTTTGTACTTCTCTGGTGATTAGTTAATGTAGGCACCTTTTCTCATGTTTTTTGGGCCATTTTTATGCCTTCCTTGAAGAAATGACTATTCATCAATTTTGCCCATTTGTAAATTGAATTGTTTAGTTTTGGGTTAGTGAGTTGTGGCATTCCTTACATATTTTGGAAGTTTTTTAAGGTACATATTCTCCCATTCAACAACTGGCATCTTCAATAATTTTGTAATTCTGAAAATTATTCCTTGGTCATTTCTTCATTTTAGATATCAAAAGATCAGATGCATTATGTCTATAATATTAGTTGATATGAATATGAATAGTTAAAATATTTTTACTGTATCTAATTCCAAATATTTAAGCTATCCACAATAACTAGATCTTTAAACAAAGTCATACCCTCCTGAGGGGTAGCAAAATCACCAGGAAAAAAAAAACTATTTTTAAAGCCTTTACTTTTTACCCATTTAATCTTTGGTGCATCCTGTAATTGGTTCCCACTCACTGAAAAAGAGAGAATTCATTACTCTTGCAGGACTGTGCTTTTACCTCAGTGGAAAATAATGGAGAGCTGAAAATATAATATTTCAAGTGAATTGATAGATCACAGGGAAGAGGAAATAGGAGGAGATCTAATGACAAGATGCTGAATAACACAGCTTTTCAAAGTCTGTGATTATTCTGGGCTACAGAAATGCAGTGACATCATTTTTATTACATAAAGTATGTCTGTTGATCTATCTGTAGGCTAAGCATTTTTATTTCTCTAAAACATTACTCAAGGAGGTAGATAATGCAAACAAATGGACAGCTAAATGAACATGCTAATTTCTAAGAAACAGAATCAAAATTATAAATATGCAAAGTCTATTTAATCAGTTACTTTAATATTGAATTAACAAAGGCAAGAGCGGTGTAAGCATGGCAGAACTGACTCTAGAGCACACACTAGAGAGAAAAATAAACAAAGTGCAAAAACTTACTTGGATTTAACAGCAGTTCAAATCTTCCTAACATTACAGTAAGTCTTTTCATCTATGAAGATTATTTGAAATGTTCTTATCAGATACATACAGATTAGTGACACATGCGTTGAGATCTCAGTGTTATTATGAAAAGCGATGAGTCTTTCTGTAAGAAACTATATTTAAAAATGAAATGGAGATCTTTTTTAAAGGTTAAAAACTCATTCAATTTTATGTCTTACATGTTGTAATGAAATGCTTCTTCTAAGTATATGGTTATTAGGTTCAACTGTGAACCTAAAAATTTTATAGCCACTTTTGAAAGAAATGTATATTTGCTCTGGAAACTGTTATTGAGTATGTTAAAGGTGTAATGGAATGCTTCTTCTAAAAAAAGTTTGAAATATTTTGTTTAATTTAAAAACATAAAAGGACATTAAATCACTCATTTAAAAATTTCTGAACAGGGCTGAAGAGATGGTTCAACAGTTAAGAGCACTGACTGCTCTTGCAGAGGACCCAGTTTCGAATCCCAGCACCCACATGGGAGCTAACAGTTGTCTTTAACTCCAGTACCAGGGGTCCAAATGCCCTCTTCTGACCTCCACAGGCATTGCATGGCACGGATGCCTTTACATAAATGCCAGCAATACATTTATACACATAAAATGATTAAAAATAATAAATAAAAAATTTCTGAACATGTGCCCTATATCAGGCACAATTTCAATAGTATCAAAACATACAACAGAGGAAGAATAAATCCTCTGTTTTTAATAGATTTTTAAATAGGACCTTAAAAATTTAGTGACTTGTATAATAATGGAATAGTCTTGAATTTCTTTAATGTATCCATTCAACTTATCCATGTGAATTGCTACAAATTGTAAAGAGAAAAAAACTCTAAACTGTCTCTGAAAAGGAGAATAAATCTTTAGGCACCCAAGGGGTGGTCAGCCTTGAGAAAGAAAAGAAATACAATGTAAAACAACTGTACTTTCTATAAAATGGCACCTGGGAAGTGAGTTCTGGAAGATAGGGAGATCTTAATTTCCTAGCAAGAAGAAATCAAAAAAGATGTTATTAAAGCAAGAAAATAAACTTCAGTAGACTGGGCACTCAACAGACCAACAAGTTCACAGGTAAAGGAAAACTCTGGAAAATTTTGTTTAAATGGCTGTAGTTTGAAACATAAATGAGAACATGAACTTTGAACCAACTAACCAAAATAGGCCTTAGAAGATACCCTTTCTTTCATATGTTGAGAAAAGTATTTTTTCTTCCCTAAAGTTACAACATATATGCCAGATATAATGGAACTTAAGGGTATAAAAATATTCTCCCTACTTTAAAGAATTTTATAGCTAGTGTAAAACATAGTAAAATAGGATACATTCCAAGATAGTGTAAGCAGAAGGAAGACAGAAATATATAGAAAATGTGAGATTAGTACGTGAAGTTTCTCTTGTGGAACTGAGGCTCCCGGGGCTTCCTGAAGAAGTAGTAGGAGTTAGTCTATCAAAGATTATCCAATACAGAGGCAAGAGTGTGCAGAAAACTTAAAGTTGTAAGTGGTTATGGAATTCAAGCCATGAAGAAGAAAGGCAGGAAAATAGCAAGCAGTTAAATGGTTAGTGAAGGTGCTTCCGATAGAGCTTTGCATGTTTAACAAAAAGAGATTGCTCCATAGCAACAACAGTTAACACCAGAACAAGGTCGGGATTGGAGGATGGAGAACCTTTACATAAAGTACGCGGTAATTGTCTATGGAACATCCAACTTGTACCAGCATCTGCAGAGTCTGATATCTGCACAAGGGTCCTAGAAACAACCTCCAGAAAAACCAAGGCATGGGGTACATGCTAAACAAAGCTTATTACGGAGGACAGATCTGACTTTCGGGAATGTATCCTATAAATGATGCACTACTATTTCACATAGCAAGAGAGAAAAGAGAGCCAAAAACAAAGACTCTGAAGATAGAAATCTAGAACTACAAAAGAAGAGAATGATAACATGCGACAAATTTAAAGATTTCTAGAACTCTAGTTTTAATATAATGACAATGAAAGGCAAGAGAAAAATTAAAATTTTTGTGCCATGGCTCAACAGAAATGAAGCCTTTGTAGGCCTTAAAAAAATGAAAAGAGAAATAATATTAAAAGTCACAATTTAGATAGTTAAAGCCTAAATTGATGGGTGGTGAGATAAGACACTAATGTCTTTTCTAAGAAATTTAAAGCATCATGAACAAAGGCACATCCCAGAAAGGTCTAGTTAATCATAGTAAAATGTGGTCTAGCTTTACCGGCTTTGAGAGGGGCCACACTCAACACAAAATACAATATAAGCACCTGAGTGTATTCCTTTTATAAACATCTTACACATAGCATTTTGTCACACTACAGATAAAATGGATATATCTCAGCTGTCCATACATGCCATAGTCGATGTGGGAGAAATTCTGATGTTGTCTATGTTGTTTGTTTTTCAGGAGAAATACATCTTACCTTTGAAACAATCTGTAGGTAGTAACCATTGAAGAGGATTTAAGTCCTTAAATACCTACACGTGTCCAATATCCAAAATTTGTCTTCAACTTAAAACTTTTACCTGCCCATAGAGACGCATCGTCTTTCTCTGAACACATTTGTAAATCCTATCCTCATAATTAATTTAAATCAATGACATTTGTAAATTCTCAAGGGCAATGAATGATTTTTTTAAAAAGCTGGATTCTTAGCAAGAACATGAACCCCTTAAGGAAACTGTCACTGCTCGTGTGTAAAATTCAGATAGTGGCAACACTAACAACAATATAAATAGGGTATAAATATAGGCTGCTTTGTTTGGCTTCTGGGTCCAGGCTTTTGCTGTAGAATTTCAATGTCTATCTCTTCATAAAAGCTTGATATTCAAAGGCCAGTGATGAGAAACCACACAGTCATCACAACTTTCATCCTTCTGGGCCTGACAGATGACCCACAACTGCAAGTTCTGCTTTTCATTTTTCTATTTTTCACCTACATGTTGAGTGTAACAGGGAACCTGACTATTATCATCCTCACCTTGGTGAACTCCCACCTTAAAACACCTATGTATTTTTTCCTCAGAAACTTTTCTTTTTTGGAAGTTTCATTTACCACCGTGTGTATTCCTAGATTCCTATACAGTATATCAAGTGGAGACAATACTATTACTTACAATGCTTGTGCAAGTCAAATATTCTTTGTTATTCTCTTTGGAGCAACTGAATTTTTTCTCTTGGCAGCCATGTCCTATGACCGCTACGTGGCCATCTGTAAACCCCTTCATTATATGACCATCATGAGCCACAAGGTGTGTACGTTACTAGTCCTCTCCTGTTGGGTATCTGGCTTAATGATTATCATCCCACCCCTTAGCTTGGGCCTCCAGCTTGACTTCTGTGACTCCAATGCCATTGATCATTTCAGCTGTGATGCAGGTCCCCTTCTAAAGATCTCATGCTCAGACACGTGGGTAATAGAACAGATGGTTATACTTGTAGCTGTGTTTGCACTCATTATTACCCTAATCTGTGTGTTTCTGTCCTATACGTACATCATTAGAACAATTCTGAGATTCCCCTCAGCACAGCAAAGGAAAAAGGCCTTTTCCACCTGCTCGTCACACATGATTGTGGTTTCCATCACCTATGGAAGCTGCATCTTTATCTACATCAAGCCATCAGCAAAGGAAGAGGTGACCATTAACAAAGGAGTATCAGTTCTCACTACTTCTGTTGCACCTCTGTTGAATCCTTTCATCTACACCTTGAGGAACAAGCAAGTGAAAGAAGCTTTCAAAGACTCCATGAAGAGGATTGCATTTCTCTCAAAGAGCTAGACGTTTGGACAAATCAGAGGAAAAGAAAGAAAAATCACCTGTGGTTGACAACAGCTTTTACCCTCCTTCATTATTTCTTTCTGCAGGTCCTGCAGATTAACCTTTTTCAATGACTTTAATATTCCATCCAGATCTTACACTTATGAAACCTATTCTTTCAAACTAAACTCAAATGTGTTAACATTCACTGAGAAGCTATAAAGTTTTTCCCTATTACCTGCTCTTTCTGCATTGATCTAGGGAAGAAGAGCATTGATATTTGACGATGTGCATGTTCTGTAGCATCAAATATGAGGGGCAGTGTCAGCCTTCTTTCTCCAATACAAAATTAGTATTACAACAGCAAAAACAAAAATAGAAAATAGCAACAGTAGAGATTTATTAAAAGTAAATTGAAGCAAATATGGCATCCCAGGCCAACTATAATAATTGGAAAAAGAGGGCAGGAGAAATGGGTCAGCAGTTAATAGCACTGGTTGTTCTTGGAGAAGACCTGGGTTCAAATCCTAGGACTCACATGGCAGTTAACAGCCTGCAACTCCAGTTTCAGGGATCAGACAGCTTCTTCTGTCCTCCACAGGCATTTCAAGATATATATATATATCTGTAAGTGTGCACTTACATCTATGCAGGCAATGCACACATACACATAAAATAAAAAATAATAACTAAAAAATAATTGGAAAAAGAGAAACC